ATGTCATTGTAATTAATCACATCCACAAGAAAACCATTGCTTGTGAATTCTTTTTCAACCCATTTGGTTGTAGTAGACTGCACCAAAGATCAAACAACATCAAACATTTTACTTAAAGGCAATTTCAATCAGAATACTAAAACAAGCTCACCTTAATTCCAACTTCAGTTTTTGCCAACCATGCTGGCAATTCTCCCAAGAAGAGACTGCTATTTGTAGCCAAACCACTAATAACAGATAATACCTCTTCAAACTTGAAAAAGTCATCAAAGGAAGTCCCTGGAGTCAGGAAAATCCATTGCTAACTTATTATTCCTTATAATAAGTTTGAATTGACAATAACTACCTTTGTCACCTGAATGGCGCGTATACTTGGGTGACTACCAGAGAAGCCTTTTTTGCACAAAATTTGTTTAACAGTAGATGACTCCATTGGAATGTGAATAAACGAGCAATCTCTTAGAATCTTTGCCCCCACAACTAATATTTTACAAGAAAAATTAGTCAGAACAAGTTAGATAACTTAACTAAATCAAAAGGAAACCGTATAAAAGAAATTTCAGTTGCATGATTCACTGATACAGAGATGTTAAGGATGCCTGGTTAAATGTTTAGTGTTTTTAAATATACCATGCCACTGAATCCGTAAAACTGTAGATGTAAGACCTTCATGGAATTCAAAACTACAAGCAACTCTCCCAAGAAGTTGCTCGTTACATAGCCTTCTTTTCTAGAAATCATAACTTAATGAAATAGCTTTTAAATCGGAAAGTGTTCGCCAAATGCTCAAAATCATGAGACGATCAACATGGTAAAAATTTACAATATTTTGTAACTTAAATTGGAGGTTTAGACACAGAAACAAACCATACAAATTGATCAAATAAAAGCAAAACTTCAAGCTTTTCAGCTCCCTTTTTGAACACCTGTTCTTGGGAAACATCGAATATGATTGTTGAACTTGGCCAATTAAGCCTATGTGGTCGAGTATCCATGCCATCAGTCAACAAAACAACCTGGAATATACAGCAATGATCAAACCACTTGCTTCAACTTTTACTTACATAATGGCAACAAAAAGGATTCTATACTTATATGTTAGTAGTTAAAAGACCTGCTTAAGCCCAGCAATATGGTTCACGGTACGAAACAACCTGTCATCAATGAACTTTGTTGCCAGGCAATAATGACTCCTTCTCTTCTTTAAATCCGTTTGAATCTTGGGATGGACAAAGCAACAGGCATATGGATCCACAAAAAGTGGTTCTGTCTGCAGAAGCGTTAATGACCTTTACTAGGATTCAATTAGTAAAAACACTGTTTGCATTTTTGAATAAGGCAACCATAACTGAAATAGAATATTTAAGCCTATTCAAAAGCAATGCTAGAAGTTTGGAGCTGGAAATTATGATGCTTAAGATGAAATGATGAATTGGGGGTTAAGACCAAGGTCCAAAACAGAACAAGAACTGAAGGCAGCACGTATAAGCATAAAAATGGCAGTAAATGGACCATTTCTTTGTCAGAGACATACAAATGAAAGCTGTTACTGTATACTAAACAAAAATAATAATAAAATGTCCTAGAGAAAGTTTAAGGGGAATAGAGAGACAAAAAGGGAACTGCCTGGCCGGTAGGTCTCTTGATAAGGACGAGAAGTTGCATCCATGGCTTTTTGGAGTAATGGGTCATTTTCATAGCTGAGTTTTGCTCTCAAGCCGCCATTTCTCTTTACCATGGAGCTGTACACCAGTGATGGGCGGCACAGGAAAGGGGGTGGGAAGTGGACATCGAAACGCCAACAACAATTCCATCTATTGCAGATTCAATTCAATGCCTTTATTTGGCATCTCCTCACTGTCTGTTAGATAGACTGGCGGCTGAGTCCCTGGAGTAGACGTCTGTCTGACCTTTGGAGCTACGAACTGTTTACAACTTCAATGGTTTTCGTTTTTGAATTGCTGCTCCTACCGACGTGTTCGGAGTACGACGCTTTTCTAGGTAAAGATATAATATTTTATGCCATCAACCTTCTGTCGGCAACTTAGATTTTACCAAAATGTTTTGATTATTCTAGCAAACATCCTTTCACATCACCAATTAGAAATAGTTAATGAGACACATCATAGGTATTTTCCTCGTGCGGTCCACTGGTTGAGTCGCGCTCCTCAATGAAAAGCAGGTGGAAATCATCTCTTGTCCCGTTCGAGCTTTCATGCTTGCTAACAAATATTAACATAATTAAACTAATCAAGTTTTTACTGTTAAAAAAAAATGAGACACATCAAAGGGAAACATAAAAAGAAATAATAATAATAATTAATGACAATTTGAAAAATGAAATATTAGAATATTCAATAATAATAGTGAGAAGGTGAATAAGTGATAATACAAGTTTTGAAAATATGTATGAGTAAAGATATTAATTTTATATTATTTTATTTAAAAAAATTATAAAAATTAATATTTTTTAAATAAAAAATATAACCTTTTAATTTTTTTATTTAA